CACATTTTTTCCTATACTTGAATAGACGGAAGAAGGCTAGATTGTGTTCCACATCACTACTTTTCAAACATTTTTGTGCTTTCATTTCCTTAAAATGTTGTTCTGTAAGGCTTAAACAGTCAAAAGAGGGATTCACTGTTCCCTCGGGACAGATGCAATTGATTTGATTATTCACCAGTAAGAGTGTGACCCATAGAGATGCTTTAAGTAATCTAATATTGTGCAGCCAAAGGCCAAGCTGCCGTCTTAAAAGGGGACAGTCTTGATTTAACAAAGCTGTATGCGTGCACTCTCATGTCTTGATTATCATTAGTGAAAAGAGCCCATGCCATAAATAACACTCCTCCTAATAACATCCCTAGACACAGACAGCCACCATTAGATGGTTTGTCACATTCTGGGAAATGGTTCAATTCAGCATGTATGCCAAGATTTGATACTGTCCTAACCATTTCTTATTATTGTCAAAGTTGACAATAGTTGTGCTGCTTAATGTTCTTATGGAAACGGTGATACTTTTTGTCAGGAATCGTTAATTAATAGAAAGTTAAAAAATGTAATGCATCATTGCTGAATAAAAATATTGATTTAAAAAAAGTCGTACTGACCCCAAACTATTCCACTGAATTAAGACCGTTTTGTCCCAGAATCACTGCAGAAAATGCTAAAAGACTTTCTGTCAGATTCTCAGTGTAATGAAGAACAAGTCCAACCACAAACACTCGGAAAACCACAGAATATCTGCCTGACAAAGTGTGGTACAGCGCACTCACACAAGCTTATGAGGCACAGTGTTTATCCTGTAGGCATGACTACGGTGCTCTGCAGAATGATACCATTGTAGACCCAAATCTCACCAACTTGTCTCACTAATTAATGCCTGAGAGAAAAGACCAAGACGAGGGATAAAAAGGGGAGAGGAATGAGCGGCTTGTGTGGCCATTCAGATCTGGAGAAAATTAAACCGTCTGCTGCAGACTAACAGTAAATCCCTCTCCTCTCTCAGAATGGGCCCTTCTTAGGGTCTCCCATTCAGCTCACAGAGGAAAAGCCTAAGCTGCTGTTTCTTACCTTTAAAAGGTAAAATGGGGAAGGAATGTGGAATATTTGACTTTCTCTTGGAAATGTTTGCTTTTACACAGTTTGAGACAGGAAGTCTGCATTGATTCCCCTTCCTTCCTTAGTCAACACACTACAGGCAATGTCAGACTCATAAATGAGCATTAGTCATGACGAGTACATGAACACAGCCTCCTCTAATCAACATCTTTCTGTCAGGCCGTGCCACTGTTCGCATGAGTTTAACTAGAGTGACAGCTCTTGAAAAAAATGATATTGCGATTGCTCACGATGTTGGGTGGTGTGTGTTACTGTTCGGGTTTAAATGGGGATCTTAATGATGTTATACCTTATTCAGCAGAGAGAGGCTGCAGGGTTTTGTGGGCCTCGAGAGCTTTTCCCCAAGCTCCAGACCCTGCTTTTTGATTGATGACTTCTTGGCACCTCGGTCGGAACTGTTTGAGAGGAAAAGCCCTCTGTGTCTTGCTTTTGAAGACTGTCCCGCTGCCAAACTGTAAAAAAAAACAAAAAAAGACTTCCACTGATCTCAAATTCTTAAATAACAATGAACATAATAAGTTTAGAACTCCTTGGTTTTTCAGAACTCCTGGTTTCTTCCCATTAAAATAATATTTTTTTCTTAGTGTGAAGAACATTTTAATAATCTATAGAACGTTTTGTGCAAAAAAACTGAAATGTTGATGCCAATAAAGAATCTTTATATATAAGAGTTTAGCTGAATCTGAACATACATCAAAAACCAATGAAGATCCCTCAACCTGGAATTCATTTACTCTTGAAGAGGGCTGTTAGAATGTATTCTGTACAAGAAGTGGCTCATATATCTGAAATGACTGATGTTGATGAAGAACATTCAGGCATGCGGATGATGTTTAGACCTGGTAAACCTCAGTTGAACTTTCACTTCAAACAACACAGATTCTGGAATTTAGATTTGTGTAATGTAAAATGAGTTGGTCAAATGGAATTTGTCCTTCTAATGAATCTAATGCATCAATGCCACAGTATTTAAGAATGTTTTCAGAGCTGGAGAAACCTGACTAGATAGACCAATGTGTGTTCTTATAGCTCCAGATATGGATCAGTGTATGAAACCAGCATAAAACACTTGTGCAGATTTGAGCTTCGAGATGAGAGTCAAAGAATGATCACACTTTCATCCTCTTTGTGTTATTTCAGATGGTTGAAATGTGTGTGGGGGATCTCAGTTCCCAGGCTGACTGAGTTACAGCACTGATAACAGTATGGCACAGCACGGTCGTTGTAAATGAAGACATTTACTTGGCTATATAAATGGGGACGTACCACAGAGCAGTGATTCTCAACCATTTTGGCTTCCAGGCATTGTCCAGGACAAAATCGAAGGTCCTATTGTCTGAGATGATATGTTCCTCTGGTACTTCTGTTGCAATAAAACAAAAACAAAAATATATGAGGGCTTTTCATTGATGTACATCTTTATTTTTAGTCTTCTTTAAATATAATTTTCATTTAAGATATTTGTCACGGCGCGGTTAGGAAAACACAATGTAAACGGGTTTGGGTCCAAATGCAGGTTTTTATTAAACGCAGGGAAAAACAAAGTAAACCCCCAAAACGGAAACACAAACAGATATAAGAATCTGAAAACAGGCTCAGAACACAAACAGGGATATGACACAAAATCGGCAACTTAGTGCTTGCATCAGTCCAGGTAACAACAATTACAACCAGTAGTACAACTACACACAATCATTAATAATCCGCCCAGAGTGGCGTGGGGAAGGCGCATAAATAGCCCTCAGGATGGGCCACAGCTGTGTGTGAGTGAGTGTGTGCACAGGTGTGTGGAGTCAAGGTGACGGAGTTCAGGATGGGCAACAGCTGTGTGTGTGTGTGTGAGTGTGTGCACAGGTGTGTGGAGTCAAGGTAACGGAAAAGGAGTCCGGGAGGATGGGAGATGGCGACCTCTGGTGGTGAGAGGGAGAACACCAGACGCCAGACCCTGACAATATTGTCACTTAAAACAATTTGAATATTATTATATTATTAAAGACTTATGAAGGCTTATTCTTATTATTAGCCCACTCCTGGAAGTTTGACAAAGGCCCTCCTGGTTGTTTGAGAGCAACTGCCATAGACTTTTATTGTTTTTATATGCTAATTATGCAAACTGTAGACAAACCCTAACAGAAGCAGCAGTTAGATTGTAAGATGTGGTGCTTCTACTAACCAGCTTTTGACTTTAGTCATAAAGTGTAGTCACATGACATCTTTAATCTCTCATCTTCTGTTTAATGCTAGTAGAATTACAATATTTACCCACAGTGCACCTGTGTGTCTGCTTAGCTCACAGCTGTGTCATGTTGTTTTTCAGTTTGTTCATTCCCACGTTCTTTATCTTTCTTACTCTCAACATAAACATCTTCACATTTACTCTGGTTTTGCTATGGTTCCCTTATCTTGTATCGGTACAGTCTTACCCCAGATTACTATCTACACATGTGTGCACATATAGGTGATCACACAGAGAGGGGGTCTCTAAAGTGGTGCCTGAATGTCTCATCCATCTCTCCTGCCTGACATGCCTCAGTCACTGGATATGCTAGACTGTACTTTTGAGCTTTAGTAACCCCAGTAGTTTTGTGAGGCCCTAAGTGGTACTGTAAGTAATGCATCATGAGGATGTTAGTTGCGTAGAGTTTCTTTCAGGGCAGTTGTGTGGTTTGGGTGGCATTCAGTCAGTAAGATCAATGAGTTTATTGATAATCTACTGGAAATGAGTAATTAAGGAAATAATTCAATAACACAGTTATGTGTTATAAAGAGAACAATAGATGTAGTTGAGATGGGCCCACATGGTGAGAGTTATAAATGTCTTTACTGTCACTTAATTCATTGTCTCTTAATTACCTTTTCTTCAATGTAACATTGTGGATTGTGAAATATTCCAGTTAATAATACCCAGTGAGAATCCAATGCATAACATACGACCACACTGAGATTTCAGGTGAATTTACCTGCATGCTAGCCTGGCGAGTACTGACATGATTGTTGGTTGAGATGATGGTGGGAGACTGATGAGATACAATTATAGTATTTGCAGTGAACGTAATCTTTATTTACAAAGAAACACTCCAACATTGATTACGTTGAGTCCGCTTCATTTATTCAAGAAAGCCAGTGATGTATGTTTGTGTTGCAGATGTAATATGACATGCAGTACAAAAGTTGTATGGGCTGTACAGACATTTTTTACCATCTCCTTGCATGATTAATGCTTGCATTTATGCTGATATTGATTAATCAGCTGTCAGTCGATACGCTCAATTAATTTAATTTTTAATGGACATTAACCAGTCACTGACTAAACTACAAGCTCAACAACAAAATTGTGAATGACAGAGAAGAAGATCATGCTTATGAGCAAAGAGCAAATAGACACAGTAAAGTTAGACTAGAGGCCTATTTCTTAAAATTCAGCTGTTATTTTTAGCAGCGTATTGGTTGCTCCCTGCACTGGCTTCAAGAGTCAGGTTTCACCACCAGTTGCTGTTCTTCTCTAAACTTCTCAGATGGGAAGGCTTATGATGGAGACCACCAGGGACACTGATCAGCTGCTTTCAGGACACGTGTGGACATGGTAGAAGAAAAGCTTGGTCTAGGTTTTGACAGACAAGGCCAGGCTTGGGTGATTCACTTCCTGAGAGTGTGTCTATCTGTGTGCCTGTGTTGGACTTAATACCATCTTACTAGTTTGATGGGCAGTACATGGCATTTCATAGGATGTAGGATGATCCATAGCCTAACTGAGGTCATCTTGAATTCTCACTGTTCGTATTAGAAACAAAAAATGTTGTTGTGTTTATGTCAATACTGTTGAGATATAGTTGTAAAGAATGTTTTTTTCTTCCTCTGATTATTTGTATGTTTCTCTACAGGACTCTGAATCTCTGGACAACTGCATTCAGAGCACGCTCTCCGCTCTCTACCCTCCATTTGAAGCCACTGCAGCCACCGTGCTATGCCAGGTGTTAGACGTGGTTGAGACGAAATACCGTGGAGACGGACTACGCTACATCATTGACTTCCTGGTGCCCGCTAAACACATCCTACAGAGCATTCAACAGGATGCATGCGTGAGTATCAAAGTTCTCTGTTTATTTATTTATTTGTTCATTTATTCATTATTATTTCTTATATATGTTATGTTTTTATTATATCAGAAATAAAAAGTGAAGAAATTAATAAATCTAAACTAATGCAAACCCCAAATTTAGCCTGATAAAATTCATAGACATGCATTCACTTGTATTCAACAGGATACATGTGTGACACATTTCCCTTTCATTCTTTTCAATTCTCTTACTCATTGCTTAACTCATTTTGTCATTTATCTTAGTGTAACATTTACAACCTTATTGTGTTCATGATTTCTCTTTCGGCCTCTGGTTGTGTTTTGTCATGTCCTATTCTGTCTGTCATGTTTTGTTAGCTGAGCCCCCACTCATCATTAGTCATCATGAGGGTGTACCCAGAACACAGACATGTGCATGTTAAAACAAAAGGCACGGCAAGCCTGTTGGCCTGAATGTTTGTGCTAGTGCTTCTTGTTTTGGTTATTGGAGAAGAAGCCCCCAGAAGTCCTATCAACGCTGCAGAGCGCTGGGATCTTTCCCAGCCAGATCAGTACAGATACACACACTCACATGCTCTACACAGCTGTCTACACACACATGTTCTTTACACTCGACTTCAGCTGCTGGTCCCTCAGTTACAGTTTTCTTTGTGGTGCCCCCATATGCTACACGCATAGCATACTTGATTCCAAGTGACAAGGAGAGGACAGGAAATGATGGATAGATGGTGATCTGGAAATAACAAAAGCCGGGCTTCATTTTCTTCTGCATTTGTTTGGAAAAAAGGGAAAATTAAAGTAAAAAAAAGAAAAGAAATACCCATCATCCCTACTCTGCGCACTCACTCTAAGGAATATCTGTGATGTTTCATGAGTTGAAAGCCAGTGCCAGGGCACAGCTTGAATGGTTCCAGTGTGCACCTGAAAAAAGACCCTTTAATAGGACCCCTACCGTTTTATTTATACCCCCTTTTATGGTCTCAGTTTTTGTAGTTTGTGTTTGCATGTGTGTGTGTGTCAATGTGCATTTATGCTCTCGTGAACCCTGTGGGAACAGTGGCTGCTCGCTGCACCTGGGGTCAGTGGAGTATCTCCAGGTATCTTCCTCCATGGTGGGGGCTGCAGCTTCAAGGTGAATGAGGATATAATAATGGGAAACAGAAGCTTAAAATGAGAGGTCTGTGAATAAAAAGCCCTTTCACCCCCTTACCTTCGGCACAAGGACACCCAACCCTCCTTCCTCCCTTGCCCTGCTCTGCCTTTCAAAGGAAACGGGTCATTTTCAGCCTACCGTAGTCAACTTAAGCAGAATATTAATTTCATCGCCGAGATATCCGAAAGCACGTTTGCATCAAGTTACACAGAGGGGGTCAGTATTACAGTCTGTGACATGACTGTCAAGGCATATAGGAAGAAACCCACTGAATTATGCAGTTGTTTCGGGACTCCAAGGCTATTTCTAATTCTTTAGTGTCCCAGTACACTTCTGTTGTAGTAAACTTTGCAAGCAGAATTCATTCAAATGAATGAAATAGGGTACAGAGTGAGTACAGGGCTCTCTCTCTCTCTGAAATTGAGTTACAATAAAGGGGCTTATTGTGCAAACTGTCTCACTGAATCATCTAGAAGCATCCAGATTCAGCAAGAAAGAATCTCTCAAAATCCCTGTCCACTTTAAGGCCCTGTGATCTTATCTTTATTATTCCCTGTGCTGCGTTAATAAAATGCCATGGTATATGTCGTGGTAAATGTGGCAGAATGTTGCATTAATTATATTGCATAGGCCTATATTCTACTTTTTGCAAAACATATTTTTCCTTAAAATCCCCATTGAGCAAGCCAAAGTCAACTGTGGCAATTGGTTGTTACCAGTAGTTTCCCATGAGAGACAAGCCTGTTATCATATATCACTTTGTTCACTTAGAATGGGAAACATAGAAAACATAAATAGCCACCATGTCTTATCTTCATGTTTTAAAGGCCTGAAAAATATATGTGCCAAATATAATAGTTTAGCTGGGTGACCCATTGACAGAACCCTGCCTCTAACTCTGCTTTGCTAGATTTTTGATTTTTTATGTATATTAAAATTTGGAATGTATTTTTTAAGATAACTGAAATGTGTCCAGCAAGTCTTTCTATGTAATTTATCAACAGTTAAATTAACAATTATTGATGGCCTTACTGATTATTCCCTCTCTCTTTTCTCTGCAGTTCCCATACTGTGGTTTCCTGTTTCGTCATGAGGGCTGGCCGCTCTGTGTCCATGAGAAGGTCATAATTCAGCTCTCATCTTTGGACTGGCGTGTGTTACGGCCCAGCGACTTCTACTTACAGGTGACGCCATCGCCCAAAAGCCCCCCACGCATCACGGTGAAGTGTCTGGCAGCTAGCAGGCAGCATGTGGAGGAGCTGGACGTGCCAGAGCTAGCATACACCTCTCTATTCACCATGGATTGGCTGGACTCCATCAACCGGGAGAGGAGTGTGGTCAGAAAAGCCGCTCTGGAACACTGTCTTTTATCAGCGGATAATGATATTTTTAGGGTACCGTGGGAGGATATTGTTCACCCGGAGTTTATCAGCAGACCCCCCAAAGTTACAGAAGAAGCTGAAAGTAGAGGGGTGGCCAAGGAAGTTGCCAACAGAGAGGAAAGGGACTTGGACGTAGATCAGGAAGACAACCCTGAGGACATACAATGTAGGATTTTTATTGACACTTCCACGGACCAATCGGGGGAGATGGGTTGTCAGAGCAAGGGGGTTAAGCTCCTCCCTGCTCTCAGTGAGATCAGTAAAGATAGCAGTGGACAGAGCTCTAGCAGCACGGCAGAGGATTCGGAGGGAGAGTATGTGGAGCTAGCTGATATCTCCTTACCACGCTTTTCCCCACAGAAGGGCTCTCTCACTCAAGCCATTAGCATGAACTACAGAAATCTACATAAACCACAGACTGCGGCTTCTACTCAGCCTAAAGCCAAACCAGAGCAGAGTCTTTTGAAGAATGGCGCATGCTCACAGAGCATGGTGTGCGCCATGCTGATTGAGGAAAACCTGAGTGATACCTACCAGCCTGTGATTTTAACCCCCACTGCTCCTGCAGAGGCAGAGCGTCAACTACAGCAGGTGGATGGGTCTGAGCACACCTGTGCTGCAGGTACAGCCTCCTGTGACAATGTGTCTGAGCATGAGTCTGAGAGAGAGTTTGTGTCTCAAAACTCTGACTGTGATACTACTCCACTTTCTGATACGTCAACACGTAACATATCACAAACAGACTGTGAACCAGTCAACACATCACAACTAGACAACAATCAAGTCAGCACATTACAACCAGACATTAAACCAGTCAACACATCACAACTAGACAGCAATCTAGTCAGCTCATTACAACCAGACAGTAAACCAGTCAACACGTCACAACTAGTCAACGAGCCAGTGAAGACACCACAATCAGATGTTAAACCAGTAAGCACATCTCAGCAAGACAACGAACTAGTCAGCACATCAGAACTTGACAGCAAACCAGTCGGCACAGCACAACTAGTCATTGAGCCAGTCAGGACATCACAGCCAGACGTTAATCCTGAAAACACATCTCATCTAGACAACCATCTAGTAAGCACATCACAACTAGATAATGAGCCAGTCAAGACATCGCATCCAGACGTTGAACCAGTAAGCATAGGTCAGCTAGACAACAGTCTAGCTAGCACATCACAATCAGACAGCATGTCACAGCTAGTCAATGAGCTAGTCAAGACTTCACAACCAGACGCTGAACCAGTAAGCATATCTCAACCAGACCTTAAACCACTAAACATTACTCAACTTGACAGCAAACTAGTCAACACTTCACAACCAGACAGTAATCCAGTCAGCACATCACAGCTAGTCAGTGAGACAGTCAAGACGTCACAACCAGACCATAAACTAGTAAGCATATCTCAACTAGACAGCAAACTAGTTAGCACATCTGAACTAGACAACAAAAAAGAAAGTTTATCTCAACTAGACAGCAAGCCAGTTAACACATTAGAACTAGACAATGAGCCAATCGAGACATCACAAACGGACGTTAAACCAGTGAGCACATCTCAATTAGACAACAAACTAGTCAGCACATCACAACCAGAGAGCAAACCAGTCAACACATCACAATTAGACATCGAGCCAATCAAGACATCACACCCAGACATCAAACCAGTCAGCACATCTCAGCTAGACAACAGTCTAGTCAGCACATCACAACCAGATAACCAACTATTCCACACATCACAACTAGAATGTGAACTAGTTAGTATATCTTTACCAGAAAGCAAACCACTCATTGCATCACATCTGTACAGCATGCCACTAAGTACATCACAAACAGACAGCAAAACAGTTCACGTGGAGCAACAAGACAGCGAAGTAACTAGTATATCACAACCAGAGAATGAAATGTTATCTGGTACTTTAGAGAGGGAAAACTCTGAACAAGTTTCTCCGGCTAAAATTGAACTGGTTGTGTTTGATCCTGCTGCAGAAGCAGAAGTCGTATCTGAATCTGAGCAGGTCCGAGGTGATCATGGCCTGGAAGGCTGTTGTGATTTGCAGAATTGTAAAGTGTTGGTTTCTGAGCCTCTAACTGTCAGCATACACAAACAGACTGAGCAAACAGAGCACAGCCCATGTCAGATACACAAACACATCCAAACACCACCTGAGCAAGTGCATGATCTTTCTGCCACAAAAGAAGACCATCAAGCATTTAGTAACAGTAGCCATGACAAGAATGAATCTGATGGTGATTATAGTTTGAGTGCAGAGGAAGAAAGTGGGCCTGTTTCGACTGCTCCGCAAAGCAAACAGGTAGCTTTTGCCTCTGTCACCATGGTGCCTGAGGAGGATCTGGTTACGCTCATTTCACAGGGTCAGGTGAGGACAGAGTCCCACGAGGACAGAAACAACGAGACTGAGGTGAAACTCCAGACAAAAGAAGCACATGCAGAAAGAGAAGTAGCGGGAAATTTATCTTGTAAGGAGGAAGAAACGGTAGAAAAGAAAAGCATTGGAGTGACAGAAAGCCAGACAGAGAATGATATAGTAGCAGTTTGTAAGGCAGAGGAAGTTGAGACTGCTCAAACAGGTCTGGTAGATGCCACACCCAAGTCTGATTCCAACGTTCAAGTTCAGGAGGAGGGCAGCTCCTCTGTAGGAACAGATGAGAAGAAACAAACCGATGTTGAAGAGAAAGGGGTGGAGGAAGAGGAGACCGAGGGCATTACTGTGAGTGAGCAAGAGGCCATAGTGACCAGCTATTCTGAAAATAGAGTCCAGTCAGCATGCAATCAAGTCCTTGATCCAGATGCAGATGTTCCCAACACAAATGGACACATGCACACTCAGGACACACCTACCACCAAAGGAGAAGGGCAAAATACAAAGGAGGAGGAGGAGAGAAAGGGGGAAAATGAGGAGAGGCAAGAGGATGAGGTTACTTCCTCTGTGAATGGCTCTCCAGGAGGGCATCAGCAACAAGCAGACATGGAGACCCGTTACCATCAGCAGGAAGAGCAAGGTAGAGTCATCTTTACCCAAGTCCATCCCGCTCACCTTTACTTTATCCACATGCTTTTTTCTCCTCCCACTCTTTTCCCTCCATTTCCTCTTTTACCTCCATTCCTGTTTCTTCATCTTAACAGGTGCATCTAAGCTTGCATCTGCTTCAGATGCATCTAAAGACTTCCTCTGCTGATGAAGAAAGACCTGCTTCTCTTCCTTCTCTTTTTATTTATCCACTCCATTCATAACCTGCTTTCACAGCTTTATCTTCTTCCTCACATTTTATCAGTATATTTTAATGTTGATCATTATAATCCCCACTTTTATTCACTTTTAGCTCATTTAATGGTGTTTCACGCATGAATTGTGTTTGAATTCCCAAAGCGTCTCTGTGGTTTGCAGCAGTTGTTCACTATGAGTCATTTTTTTTCATCATTCATCCATTGTCGTGTCCACCTAGTATATTTACTCTAGATTAGCAGACTAGCTTCGGCGTTTCGACATTCAGGCCTCTGACAAGTTAGAAATGGCTCTCAAATGGCCCGTGCTATGGCCTGATAGAGCTCCTTTTCTCTTTAGGCTGAAAGAAAAGCGTGGGAGTCTCTGGTTTTACTTAGACTGGGCGCTTTACAAGGACTGGCTTCGTAGCAGGTCATATTCCGGCCTCTAGACAGTTTGTTTTCAAATTTAGACACACATTAATTCCACTGAACACCATCCAAGATAGACGCCGTTTCACATCTGAACTGCTAAAGGAAACAGCTGAAGAGAAGCCTGGGTCATGTGCAGGATTTCTGCTTTGTGTACTTTAGTAACCCAATCCTGATTTTGTTTAGATTAAGCTATTTTTAGACATTTGTTGAGCAGAGTGTTTTTGTGTGATCAGGAGCTGCTTTTGCATTTTATCTGCTTTTTATGATGCCCCTTTCACAAATAGCAAGTTTGTTCCCACGACTTATTCTTTTGTTCCTCATTTTAAAGGTCCCCTGAAATGTTTAGAAACACGCAGTGTTACTCTATGTGTTGACGTCATTTTAACTGAAACATGAAGACAGGGCGGGACATATCAAGCAGCCCCGCCCCTTTTTATTTGATTGGACAGAAAGTTTGATGAGAAGCTGAAGTACCATGTAATGTCAAAAAAAATCGTTGAGCCGTTTTGGCGGAAGTGACGAACTGCAAGCTTTGAATGCTTATATCTTCTAAATGCGAATTTTGTCACTGTTTTGGAGCACACTGCCTTATAGATAACCTTAAGACTAACATATTGATACTAACACCCAAAAAACTTTAATTTTGATTTCATGGGGACTTTAAGTAAAGCAAGGCTATGTTGTACTAATTAGTTCCCACAATATATTAAAGTGTATTATTTAAGTAGTACAACAAATTAACAAGTTGTGGGAGTGAATTCTTAATACATGGCCACATCATTATTTTTTCTCCAGTATGTCATGTCCAGGGCACCATAGCTCCTCCACATTGCGAGTTTCTGCACAGGTTGCTGTAAGTGTCCCACCTCCTCTTCCTCTTCATCCAGAGGATTTGGTTGCCAGGATGTGCTCACCTGGCTCAGGTGTGTTACAAGTGTGAAGAAAGATATATGAGATGAGGTGAGGTGGGTGGGCCTGAACACAATCCCTGCTGTGGGACCTCTGAAACTGCAGGGGGTAAGCGGAGGGGGATGTTTAAGTGTGTGTGTTTGAGGGTTATAGATGGAGTGTTTAAATAATGGAGAACGGGTGGGGGTTACACTGCTCTGAAGACAAGAACAGCAGAAAGAAGAAATGATGGTGTGTTTGTTGTGGTAGTTTGACTATGATAGATCTGATTCTTTCTCTCTTAGTGGGTGGTTCACAAACCCTAAACATTTTTTCAGTTTTAGTACAGCGGTGTGTCTATACACACAAAGAAGAAAGCTTATCTACTATTTTTTCATTTATTCTTTTCATCGTGCATCAATTTTTCAGAGGATTTCAGGTGTTATTTCTTTTAATCCACTGTTTCAAGTGAATAGGATTCACTAGAAATTGAAAAGTTAACTTTTAATATTCAGTGTCAGCAGTTTGCTGTGAATTTAGCTTGTGTATTTTTAGTTCTGAAAGGAAAATTATCTTTGGACAATGCTTCTCTAAGATCTATAAAACCTCTTGAAAAGCACTACAGACTTTAATGAGAATCCAGTCTGTAAAAGAGAGTGCTGATGAGCTGGGCAGATGGAACATGCGCACACACACACACACACGCACACACATACGTTTACAAACTGACTAAAGAACTAGATAGCATGAATAATATCCATAAAACTTCCCAAAGTGAGCAATGTTTGATTTGTGACTTCTTGTCCAGACCATGCATTAACTGATGTGTGATCTTTACAACAGACACATGTCCACACATTCATTGGGCAGCATGTAATTGCAGTCATTCTATTACAATAAAAAAATAATGAATGTGTCTGCCGTATGGAAATATATTCAGTATAAATAGCATCTTTTAGAGTTGTCCCTATTCAGTGTCCATAGCCACATCAGAAAGAAAAGAAAATCAGATAGAAAGGAAAAGAAATGCACGAAGAATAAAGGCTGAGGACATGGCCCATGGCCAGACTGAACTCCAGACAGTGGTGAGAGAGTGTGAAGCCAAGACCCTCTCTGCTCTGCCCTGTCTAGGGCAGCACTTAGCTCCTCAGGGGCCTCATACGCTCGACTTCCTCAATGTGAGCATTCTTTGGCGAGGAGGATGTTGGGTAGACAAGGAGACAAAGAGAAAGTGGGGGTAAAAAGTGGATTTTTTTTTCTTATTTGTCAAATTTATTGTAGCTTTTACTTAACTGAAGAAGTACATTCCATTATGTTTAGATTTCCTTCCTCAGAAGCTCACTTCAGCTGTTCCAGCTCAAATCCCTTCTGAAATATAGCAATCTCAGCCAGATTATGCTTCAGAGCAATTTATACTTGTTTTCCTTGTCCTTGTGCAAGCTGTTTTACGACTCCTGGAATTCCCAGGACTCCATCTCATCTGTTTTTGATCTCAGTATCTATTTTCTGCACAGCAGCAGCAGTGCGTGGCAGTGTAGCGAAGCAAAACTTTAGTTTTATGACTGTCAGAAGCTGATTTCTATTTATCTCTGAGCCCTATCGTGCTGTCAGGTATATGGGGCAGAAATCCAAGCCGCCCTATGGGTCGATGCACAGGATGATACCTGGAATGCTTAAAATAAGCTAGTATGTTTGTGTTTGTGTGATTTGAAGGCTGAGTTGCATGATAGTACAGATTGGGCAAATGCTCACACTCCATTCAACCGTCTCTGCATTGCTCTTTGTTAATAGAGGATTAGAGAATGTGGGTCTACTAGCTTTGTAAAGAGATCTGTCATGTGAAAAGACCTCAGTGTTTTCAGAGTCTGAATAGCTTTGTGTTTCATGTCCCAGAGATTTAGCTTTTTTTTTTTTAAGTTTACAGCCAAATATAGTTACAGTCAGCCATTTATAAGCTGTGCTGTATATCTTCAGTCTCAGTTAAATCCATTTTTGTTACTGAGCAATCAAACATTGCAGTAAAGACTAACTCACATTGATCAAATCAATATATCTGTAGGCTTACTAAAGACTTGATGTATTATTGTCTACAATGATAAAACAGATAGTAGATTCTTGACTATAGTCAACATTTTAAACTGACTTGCGAAGGGTTTCTGTGTTTACATTTTAAGTGTGTTTTTTGTGTTGAAATTACCTTTTTTTTTTTTTTTTATTAATATTCCAGCATCCAGTCAGGAAGTAGACAGCATTGTTTCCCACCTGTCTGCTAAAACCCAAAGTGAAGACCCCTCAGCAGTTCCTCCACCACTGCCTCCCATCTCCCAGAAGACCCAGCCTGTCCAGAGTGAGGCTTATGACATCAATCCTGATGTCCTGAGCTCTGGAGTGCTCTGCCTGCCGGGTGAGGATCTTCTTTTAATGCTGTTAATGTGGTCCTTCCATCAATTTGATCCAAAGGCTCATCTTTTGAAATACATTTTAGGAACAAGAGATAAATCAGGCCATGCCCTTGTGACAGTGACAATGAGAAACACTATCTGGTTGAATCCGAACTGCAATAGTGGAGAGCTGATGCGGATCATGGTCTACTTCTTCAGTACACTCAGGTAAACTACATTTCTACTACAAATCAAGGCGCACACTGCCATTCAAAAGTTTGTAGTACAGTAAAAACAATAATGTTGTGAAATATTACAGCAGAATTACTTTTCTAATTGTCATTTTTCTAATAGTAAAATGTAATTTATTTTTGTGATGGCATAGCTGAATCGTCATCAGCAGCCATTGCTCTAGTCTTCTGTGTCACATTATACTTTATTCTAATATGCTAATTTGGTGCTCAAGAAACATTTCTTATTATTATCAATTTTGAAAACTCCTTAATGTTTTTGTGGAGCTCATGATACATTTTTAGGATTCTTTGATGAATAGAAATGTCAAAAGAGCAGCATTTATTTGAAATAGAAATCTTTTGCTGGCATAAAAATACTTATTTTTTACTGGCACTTTTGATCAACCTAATGCATCCTTATTGAATAAAAAAAAAAATAATAAAATCTTACTGACCCCAGACTTTTAGTCTCACATCAGTAATGTAGGTGTTTTCTCTGCAATGTATTAGACAACGTACTTTCTACTTTTATCAACCTGTGCAGTTTTTGTATTTAGAGTAACACAATTGTATGTGTGATTTATTTACCCATTCTTCATAAAACATGTGACCTTAATTTGTCACACAGGAAGGAAGTTAGTGCTTTGGGACTGACTGTCCTGGTGGATGCCCGCAGGTGTTCTCCTGTCCCCGCCCTCTTTAAATCCTTCAACATCCTCCAGGTAAAAACACCCTGACAGTATGATTTGTGATAATGCACACATATACAGTCTACCATTCGTTCATGACCTCCAGAGAATCCTAAACACAGAGAACTGTCACATACCGTTCACATCCTCAAGGCGTTTCTTTTCACATACTTGCTTCAAAACAAAATGGAATGCAAACATGCCTTGAATCCTGATATTTAACTTCAACCAGACATCTGCTACTCAGGAATTCAGAAGACAGCTTACTAAACTAAAGCAAAGATTTGAGAAACGTTTCCATCGACAGAATCAGTCATTTTTGGCTAAAAAAGGCAAATAAAAACAGCACATCATAAATATTAACTGTGATTTACCAGCTGTGGAAATAAATTGTTGCATTTAGAAACAATTACACAATAGGACATACTCGCACGAGAGTAAGAGAGAGAGGGAGGTGGGTTTGGTTTTCCTTTCCTCATCTGGGATTGCTTATTTTACAGAATACATCAATTTATGGCATGAAGAGCCTGGATTCTTGCTTGTCAGTAGTTGGTTAACTTAGATATAATCTCTGCTTAAATAAAGGCTAATCTTTTACAAGTGTAGCCTGGCCAGGGTGGCAGTAGAGAACACAAACATCATATCCTGTCAGATTTCATTATATACATTTAGTTTGAGTGTTTATGAACAGTGGATGGCTTATCTCATCTGAGTGGCCTTTAGACTGTAAAAAATATTTACATGAGGGATGTGAAGAAACCAATAAATAGTCCCTCAGAGATACTGCAGGAACTTGATTCCTGAGCACATTTAATGGAAGTGGCTTTAGAGTTTGTGCCATGGACCTGAATGCAGATTAATGCTGCTTTCTTCTCCTGCCAGCAACCTGCCCCACTCTAAAAGATTGAGGATGTGCCAATGCTGACTTCACCATTTAGACTTCCTGAGTGAGATAGAGAGCGATAAGCATGAGCAATATAAAAGTAAAATTGAGAATGTTTTTAATGACAGTGTTGTCTTAAATAGCACAGGGCCTCTATAAGATGTTTTCATTGTCTCTACTCATTTGAGCTGTAGCACAGCTGCAGAAATTCCCCATGTGACCTTTCCTTCTTTGATGTTTTATCTGTATCTGTAATCCATGATGGACAGCATACAAGTGCTGTCTTGTGGAAAAGGTGGCTTTACTGAATGTTTTTGAGATTCTTGATGATATGCTGCTAAACTATGTGAACGTCACGTGTTGGAGCACCCTTCAAGATTCAAGATTTTTATTTGTCACATACATGGTTATATAGGGAATATATGACCATTGTGTAGGGAGAGTAGAGCAGAGGACTCAGGACACAGCCCTGTGGAGCTCCTACGTTCAGGGTGATGGAGTTGGAGGTGAACTGGCCTACTTTCACCACTTGAGGTCAATGTATTCAGGGTCAGTGCTGCTAACACTGACAGATGAGATCTGTCTGAATGAATGCAGTAGCTCAGGGAACAGACACGGGCTCTTCTTCCTCCACTGTACTATCGTACATACTATCGTCTTATTATAGATGTCCTTTTCAGCTGACAATTGCACTTTTCCCTCAGGCCTCTGTATTCAAATAGATAAGTTTGAATCATGGCCAACCAAGGAACTGACTTTCTTTTGCTTTATAAACTGATTTGGCAACAATATAGTAATGGTTTGGTTAGAAGAAACGTTTGATTTGCATTTTGGATGGGAGATTAATCCAGAATATAAATTTGCCATCCCATTTCACCTGGTTTACACTACCATTGAAAAGTTCAGGGTGGGTATATATATTAGCACCACTGTTGATCAGTTGAATATATGTTAAAAAAAAACATCTTACTTTAAAACAGTAGTGTATATAAGTATTGATATATTTGTAGTTGTTGGAGTTGTGACACATGTTTGAGTTTAGTTTATCAGTCTAATAAAAAGGTATAATCCCAAAATATTCTGTTCTGTGCCAGGCTTTTGTTAACTTGGAACAGTCCCCACATTTATCATTCCTTCTCTTTGGCCCCCACATGACAGGGGAAAACTGGAAACCTGATCCAACCTCACCATGTATTCATTATTTTAATACACTCAAAAAGCAAAGTGAAAAAGAAAACTGCAGTGTATCAGTAAGTAGGCAGTAAATATCAGCGGTAATTATGTCTCAGCCCTGAAGAGTTTGTTGATGTTTCTGGAACATTCCTTAGTAAATATGCTATTGTTTCGTTCCAGCAAAGCTTTTCTTCCTTCTGTTCAGATGTGGCTAAGATGGCATGATAATGCGTGCATGATCAGTATGCATGATGACATGCAAGGAAACAGACAAAAACAGCTCTCAAATGGCATAAACGACTTCTCTGGTCTGTTTTTACAGAGTGTTGTTTTTCTGCTCTTTTGTTATGGGGCATACAACTCATTTCATTCACACTGACAGAAGACTTTTATTGTGGTTCTTGGGGCACATGACAGAAAATTGTCTGCTAGGTTATGTAACCTTTAAAAACTTCTGTTGAATGATGTAATTTATGCATATGCATAGTTTAAAGTTGGCAAGTAATTCACCCTGTCTATTTTCTAAATGTTATTTATCATATTGATCTTACAATATATTCATATACATGTTCCAATTTTTGCATTTTTTTTAATGTCACAATTGTTAATCAAAATGTCCTAAGTAACTTGATCTTCCGGTGAAACGATAGACTTTCCTCTGGTGATGTATGCTAAAGTTTTCCAAACATTTTGTATACAACAATCGACTGCAAGCTCACATTCAGATCTGTCTCCACCAGTCAACAACTAAAGAGAATATCTAGTCTCCACCCTATATTTTTTGGGGGTTGTGAATTTAAGTAATAGTCAAATAGTACAAATACAAGCTGTATTAACAACATCTGTATCAATAGCAATATATATATAAATTTATGTTTAAAAAGTCTTATTCAGTAATCATAAATGACTGCAAAAGCATTTTTTGGTCTGTAGGACTGGGAACTCTGGTTTAGTCAGTGAAATGTGTGTAATTCATGGTGCTATCTGTGCTATATAGTCTATTCAATCTCTACAGGAAGCCATGCCGGGATGCATCCATACAGTACTGCTGCTGGCCGACAGAGATCTGGCTCTACGTGTGGAGAAAACCACTTCTATACAGGTAACACACAAATATTACCCATCACCTGTAACATGCCCTGACGTTACAGCCACAGTAAAACTCAAACAATAACAGCAGAAGACAACATCTGTGTCATGTGCCACATGTGGTGAGGGCTGGTAGGATGGAAAATGCAAACATAAATACAAGAATCTGGTTTTCAGCTAGCTAGTCTGCACTCTCAGAGAAATAGATGACTTTTTTAAAGCACAAGTGTCTGTACTGAGGCGCATCTTGTGCCTGACACAAAACGGACTGACCAGAGATAGAGTCTTGTAGCTACGTAGGAAAGTGCTTCAGTTGAGAATGTCACAACAGCTGGACAGATAGTGTAGCCTAGACATCTATCTAAGCTATTAGAACAGCCATTGTGGCATCTGAAGTGTTTATGATAGCACTGCAACCCATATATGGCCCCTTTAATGCAGAAGCTAAACCTGACAACTGTTGTGTTCTTTTGGCATCTGTCAGGTGGAGTTGTTGACATCGCTTAAGTCTCTCTATAAGCATGTTGACATCGCTCAACTACCCACTGAGTTTGAAGGCACTTTCCCTTATTCCCACAGCAGCTGGGTCTGTTTCAGAATGGTGAGAAAATCATCATCTTCATCATTCTTATGACTAAAGGCTGGAATACACTACATGTCTTGTTCCCTGAATCTGCTCAGTCAGAGGATATAAAACATGTTTGATATTTTTAGCCAGTTTTAGAACACATATTGTTTTCTGTATTTGTCATGCACCTCCTAAAACAGAGGCACATGTTTTGCATGTCAGGAACAACTTTCTGGTGTGTTAGAAATGACTTGAAAGTCTGGTATTTAACAATTTTTTTTAATTTTGTATATTGTATTCCAGCCTTAATATGGATTAATACAGAACTAAGCCACAAGAGGCCATGCAGCCATAATATAATAAAAGTATTCAGTGGTTTAAATGTATTAATACTGATCACAATAAATAGTTCCTCTGCCAAGTAGCTTATTTATATATTTAACATTTAACTTGAAACATTAAGATATAGGCTAATTAATTTGATGTGCAGCCACATATCTGACAACAGTTTTTTTTATTAATCTGGAATTTCTTTCTAATGGTTTCTTGTTCCTATAGTTCCTATTCTTGTTCCTATAGCCACAGCATCTGACAACAGTTTTTTTTATTAATCTGGAATTTTTTTCTAATGGTTTCTTGTTCCTATATTTCCTATTCTTGTTTCTATAGCCACAGCATCTGACAACAGTTTTTTTTTATTAATCTGGAATTTTTTTCTAATGGTTTCTTGTTCCTATATTTCCTATTCTTGTTTCTATAGCCACAGCATCTGACAACAGTTTTTTTTTATTAATCTGGAATTTTTTTCTAATGGTTTCTTGTTCCTATATTTCCTATTCTTGTTTCTATAGCCACAGCATCTGACAACAGTTTTTTTTTATTAATCTGGAATTTTTTTCTAATGGTTTCTTGTTCCTATATTTCTTTCTGTTATATTTCAGAGGCTGGAGCAGCTGACCAGCCATTGTAAGGATGCTGTGAACCTGCTTCAGAACACCATCAGCAAACTGGAGTCTACAGTGCTGCCACCTACAGCAGAGGTACTGCAACAGTCAATACAATACTTTTCTAAAAGCAGCTCAGCTGAGCAGTCTCACAGAAAATGCTTTGTCCTAGCCCTGTCCCGAGGGAGAGTGCTGTATATGCATATATTTTGGCAGACTCTTTTATCTAAAGCGACTTGCATTAAAGGTATACATTTTTGTCAGTTTTTGCATTCCCTGGGTACCGAACCCAAGGTGTTGCTATGCTCTGTTGTTTGAGGAATATATATTGTGGGTACTTTGTCTGTGATCCACTGTGATCTACCTCAGGAGGGCATCATCATGGCACTAAAATCTTCTCTTCTGAGTCTGAGGGACTTCTATACTATTTCCATGAAGTAGAGTAGTGGCACTGGTGTCCGGTTACGGTGATTTAAAGACTGTTCTATTTAGAAGAGATGTCTAGTTTTGAAAAATAGACTTCAGTTTGTGTGTGGTTGGGGTTAGTGTGTCAAGGCTTTGACTGAGTTGACCTTTGGCTGTCAGTGGAGGTCACGAAGGACCTTTTTATCCACAGGCTTCTGGGGAAAATCAGTGCCTCAGGAGAAATAATGATCTCCCAGAGGGGTGTTTATCTGCAGCCATCTTTAAAATCACTTACCAAGGGTTTATTTGAAGAGTAGAATGGCGAGGCAGTGGTTGAGGGTATGGATTTCTGTTTGACTTTATCCTGAATGCTAAAACAGCCCCTCTTGTGGATGAAGTGATGCTTAGATGGTAAATGAATAGAAGACCAAAACAAGTCTTGGCCCGTCCTCTCATCTCTCGACCATTTCTCCTTTCTCTTCTGTGTCCCTCCGTTAATCTGAACATGTGCCCTCTTCCTTTTCCATGTCTTTTCACTATGAGTCTGAGTTATTTTCTCCCTGTATTTTCACATAAACCTAACATACGTTCAGTTTTTCATCCATTTAATAGTTTATTATACAGTGTCTATGAAGAGTTTTAAAGTAGTACTGTAAACAAAAATGCAAATAAGCTTTAAAACACAGAAACATCCACTGACATTTGTAATTCATGTAATTGCTCTACAATTTCATCCCACTTCACACACAATAATTAGGGTGTAGACATAAGACAGTAATTATGAGCTTTTTATCACTTTGAGTACTTTTTCAAATTCACTTTAAAAAGGCTTTTGTTGAGGTTCCTGAGGTTATTTAGTATAATATAACCTTTTTTTGTTAGCGCCTTATAGACTTGGCATAGTGTGGTCAGACCACCATCTGCATCATTGGGTAGGTATTATGGATGCTTTTCTGGGTGGTGGTCTGACTCATCCACCCCAAAAAAGTATTACGCCACTTAACACTTTTTTTTAGATTTTAATTAAGATGACGTTTTGCTAATTTATGGCCCTTGTTTACTAACGAGAACCACTTTCAGAAGTGGTTTCAGTACATTTGTAAGGGAATTTTCAAAAACATAAATGTGTGCCAAGTAATGTGAACCATTTTAAACATTTTACACCAGAAAAAATTGTATCAGTAGTCAATACTTGTGATGGCTATGTTTAAAATCATGTACACTACCATTCAAAGTCATTACGTTTTTTTTTTTGTTTTTTTTTTAAGAAATTATTACTTTATTCAGCAAGGATGCATTAAATTGATCAAAAGTGACAACGCAGTTTAAATTGTTATAATAAAATCTAATAAATACTGTTCTTTTGAACTTTCTATTCATTTAAAGAATCCTAAAAAAAATTTATCTTGGTTTCTACAAGAATATTAACCTGCACAACTGTTTTCAACATTGATAATAAGAAATAATAAGAAATGTTTCTCAAGCACCAAGTTAGCATATTAAAAAATTATTTCTGAAGGATTATGTGACACTGAAGAATGGAGCTGCTGAAAATTCAGCTTTGCCATCGCAGGAATAAATTACATTTTAAAAATATATTTTTTATTCTTTTGAATGGTAGTGTACACTCACAAAGGATGACTCCAGTCATATTAGTGGCCTAGAAAACCTGTTTTTTTACATTACGTTTTACATAGAGTGGGTCACCCCTTCATCGGGTCTGTCGTGTTGAAATCAGATGACCAGCCAACTCATGCTTATGTGATAAGCAACTTATGCTTATTGACAAATACACCTGTGTGCATTTCTACAGAATATTTTGGTAACTTTTGCTCTATCATTATGCTGTATCTACACCAAAGGGGGTCAGTATATAAAGTGCAAGACAAGTGTTATATTGTTTAGAAAGACTATAAACACACGCACACACACCCGAAGGTGTGGCAGTTATGTGTATTACACATTGTACTGTAGCTTAAGCTCATTTGATCACTTAATGAGTACAAACATGAGCTGGTATTAGATGAAGGAGGTGTAGATATCATTTAATGAATAATAATGCCTGTGTGCGTGAGAGTGTGTACAGGTAATGTGTGCTGCTCCAGGAAACGCAGGTATTACTCTCTATGTCGACGGAGTTTGTGAGACAGGAACATAATGATGGGGTGTGTGTACGTCCTGGAGAAGGGACAGATATTACTCAGTGTGAACAGTAGATAAGTAATATGTGTATATGTAATAATAAGGTGTATGGGAATGTGTGGAGCTGTAGAGGAGTGTCTGTGTTTTATAGTAATGAATGTGTGTTTGTGCGTTTGCAGGAGGCACAGATCTTATTGTGTAAGTACAGAGAGTTGATGAGGACTGTTCTGGAGGACAGCAGGTTGGTGCGGCTACAGCTGGAGGGAGGAGCCGCTCTGTCCCGTTTGCGAAAAGAGGAGACCAGTGTCAGTCTGACAGAGGACTACAGGTGAGAAAATATCGTCCAGACAACACCTTTAACCTACTGCACACATCACAAAAGTTAGGCAATTTAATTATGCTGTCAACAGGCAACATGTTTTGGTCAAAGGCAGCATGATATGTCCTTTGTAGAAAAGGCAATCCCAGAATACACTCTAGCAAGCTCACTGAAAAAATATATACATTAAATGCTAGAAGAATACTTATTATACAAGTACCAGTCAAAATTTTGTATGGGAGTCTCTTATGCTCATCAATGCTGCATTTATTTGATCAGAAATACAATAAAAAAAACAGTAATATTGTAAAGTAGTATTACAGTTTACATTTTTTTTATTCCTGTGTTGGCAAAGTTGAATTTTCATTAACCATTACTTCTGTCCTCAGTGTTTCATGATCCTTCGGAAATCATTCTAATATGCTGATTTTGTGCTCTAGAAACATTTCTTATCAACATTGAAAACAGTTTTCAGCTTTTTTTTCTTCAGTTTTTTAATTTAATGCATCCTTACAGAACAAAAGCATTATTTAAAAAATAAGGTTTTTATAAAAGGAGTGACTGTAAAAGACTGTTTTACATAAAGTTTGTATGTGATATGCATACTCATTATGAAAGTGATTTTCAAATATAGAAATCAGTTGTTGATTCATGTGAGTTCCTGCCTATGTAGAAAATTACAAATGAGTCACCAATGAAGTACCAGTAACGATGCAGCCTAAATGGGTTCACTAGGTTTCGGAACTAAATTGTACAATTATAAGAGACATGAGAATGACAAACAAGAGAGGGATAATGAGAGACAAAAAAAAGTGTTGAGAGCATGGGAGAGCATGTTCAGACCTCTGATGATCAGGGCTGGGTTCAGCTCGAGGTTGAGGGAATGTGAATGTTATTTCCCACAGCTAGGCCAAGAGAAATGTCTTTATCAGCACACAATCATTCATCCTGAAACATACACACATAATCTCAGAGCTAAACAGACACCAGTATGCGCATGTGTCTGTCTCTGATAACATAGTATGGTTTGGATGCAGCAGAGCTCTGGTGCCGCTTCCTGTTTGACTTTGCATAAAACACACAGGCATGTCTGCACTGGCTGACTGAAGCTCACTTTCAAAGCCTCCTGCTCAGACACAAATACTCGAGCTTGGTGTTTGTAAGGGTCTCTGCTGATAAAGACCCGGTGGGTCGCTCATTGATGGTTTGAATTTAGGTTTCCCACAATCTTCATCTACTTAATAAACATGCAAGGGGCAGGCATCTAAGCCAGTCTCTCTGGTTCTGTAACCTGATTTATTGTCGGCATTGTCATCTCCTTCCCTTTTGTGTCTTTCATATTAGGTGAAATTATAGTTTAAAGGCTGTGCATGTTCTTCAGGTTGCTCATTTGCTGTCTAACGAATGCCAAAATTAAACCTTAGCTGTCTGAGCTGCTCACACACAAGCGCATCACCTGGATGCTGACAGACACACAAAGGGCTCAATCTCACAGGTGTGACTGAGTCTAAAGTGCTTGACAATAGTGAACAAATCCGGCCCTTTTTTCTGCCTTTTTCTGTGTTGATGACACGGACTTCTTCCCTCACACATAATCCCTCTCAGTCTAGTCTTTTTAATGTTTCCTTTGGATTCTAAAGGTGAACTATGACCCCTTGCTTTTTTTACTGACTGGAATCATTACACTGTTACTCACCGGTGGTCCTACAACCTGCTGATTTTTGTTTCAAATATACATAAATAGGAACTTTTATCTTGTTTATTCCTCTTTTTTAGTCCTTGTCAAACTGTATAATATATATATATAGTATTAATAGTAATAAGAATAATAATCAAAATAATTGTCACCATTAATCCCTAATAAAAAAAAGTAGCCTAATGATAATAATTTTTATTATTAGAAACTATAACATTTAATTTATAATAATGATAATGAAGGCCTCTGATTTTTCATCCATCCATCCTTAGACTCTTATCTCTCTCACTCACTCTTTTGTCATTCTCTCTTGCTGGAATGTCTTTGATATGTCCTGCATGCTGTGATAACCTGTGTTTGCTCTGGGTGTGTGCTGTGAATAATTGGTGGGTTTTGGACTGATTCTGAGGTCACTGATTTGCCTTTCATTGTGTGTCATACTCAGATTGTTCCAACAGTGAACTTGCGTCAACCAAAACTTGAAAAAGTTCACCCCAAATTAAAATTCAATTATCATTTACTTTCCAACCTTTTTTAAATTTTCTTTTTCTGTGGATTTCATTTCGGTTGCAGCTCTTTTCCACACACTGATATTGAATAGAAACTAAGGCTGTCAAGCTCTAAACAAACAAACAAACTACCATGAAAATAACTTTATTTTAACATGCGAATATGCATTTATGTGTATCTAACAGCAGGGGGCACAGTTCAGTATGGCTGTGTTGTTGTGCATGTGCCACATGTCTGTCTGCATTACTAAGTCTTACTTGCTTTGAAGTGTTTTGGCAGTCAAATGGGAATGTGGCATTCTTCAAAAATAGTTCTATATTCTAATATTGACATCGGTGTTATGTTTGGTTCAGAGAGTGGATCACTCTTTGACTGAGTTAGTTGGCATATTGTTGAAGGGAAATGTTGTATAAATGTTTGACTAGAGCACAATACAGTATTATGTGAGTGAACTATAGCAGTGATGAAGTCATTCAGTAGATATCAGCCTCTGCTGCTGTGCACAGTGCGTTCTGTCAGTGTGTATCACAACGCTGCATTTTTAACACACAAAATGCATTTTTACTCATATTTCTTCGCAATTATGCATTTAAAGAAATACATATTTCCTGACATACTGTTTGTAGAGTATCACGGTATACAGTCATTGACATAGTTGACATAGTTTCTCTCATTTATAGTCTTTTTCTTTTCTCATACAACACACACACACACAAACTCCAGCTCTGCTCCATACTGTCTCCCATTGCCAGACCATTCTGTAAAACCAACTTGCACATCTAATTACATTCACTAAATCTCTAAAAGCCAGGCCCAATCAATGGTTCTGTAAGGCTGTCTTAGCCAATGAGACGAGAGTTCTAAAAGAGCGTCTCAGCCAATGAGATGTGAGTCCTGCAGTCAGTGTTTTCTCTAAGATCTGATGCTTGGAGTTTCTCTCAGGCATTAGAAACAAGCTCAAGACAATATGTAGACTACATTTAATATGCTAAAGAAATCCTGTTGGTGTGTGTTTTAGAGATGCCATCGAGAGTGCAGGCTGTCTGTACAACCAAGTGGACGAGTTAGTTCACAGACTGGTGATGCTGTCCAACAAATGCACACAGGAACTGGAATTCATAATGGAGTTTAAGACTCTGGAGGAGGGATTCAGAGAGGTGAGGACTAAAGTTTTGCACTTGCTATTATGTACTGTATTAATTACAGATGATCATAAGAGCTGCGTCTGAGACTCAGCAAATGTTACCTGCTCTTTAATGGGATCATTTCTTATATTTGCATTTTGATTTGTTTTCATACTTTATTATAAAAGTCCTCTATAAATATACTTCTAAGTAGAGTTCTACTAAGTTAAAATTCAATTCTGAGACGAATGTACATTTTTAGTTAAACTTTTCACTTAAATTATGAAATTAAATCTATTTTTTGTTAGCAAGGACTCCAAAATAGAAGCATTTGCATGGATAGTCTGAGACGTTTGAATTCCATTTGGGCAGTTTTTGTCTTCAAGGCTTATTCTTAGCAGTGTTTTGTAGTGAATTTAAACTTGAAAAATACTGAACACTGTACTGAAGTGCCACACACAAGCACACTGACTCACAAACAGCCTTACTAAGCTACACACTGACTTGGTGATTTATTCTTCTGATTGTTTTAATGGATGATTGTGCCCAGCAGGCAGAAAGAGGGGGAAAAAATCCTGTTGGCAAGGTTATAGTGGAAGCTGCTGAAACAGATTAGCCAAGCACACACACACACATTCATGCACATCATGAGAAAGTGTAATCTAGCACCATAGCATCTGTATCAGATGACAGACACGTGAAGGATGTGTTTGTGTGCTTATGTTTCAGTCTACTGCCAAAGTCTACTGTCACAGAGAATAAAGAGCATAAATATGTCGTTCTGAGTGAAACTTAAGAGAGTGCAGCTGGACTGTAGCAGAAATAACTGTTTGTATGTATATGTTGTCTCTTAGGTGAGTCAGTGGATAGAAGAAGTGGGCGAGACTCGTCTGCAGACACTGAGTGAGCTGGAAGATTCCTTGGAGCAGTTACATCATAAACAGACTGTCTTCAGAGAATTTTACACAGCTGCATATGTATGTCAACTCTTATTAAATTTGTTTTACATAGTGCTTTTTACCCCCTGCCACAGCATCTGCATGTTGTTTCTTTTTCTTTCTTTTTTTTTTGCATAGTCCTCATATTTGCTCAACAAATGCCTTATGATGTTTTTATATGAACTGAGAGGTAATATTTTACAGCAGGTGTCAAACATTTGCTTTATTATGTCAACATGAGCTTCAAGAGTGTTTGTAACTGTTCAAATGTAGTCACCTCAGTCGCACCCTCTGTTTTCATACCAGTTCACTGTGTAATTCTGGGTGTGTGTGTGTGTGTGTGTTCAGGAGCACTGTAAGAGTGGTGAAGCTCTCCTTAAGCGCTTAGAGAAGTGGGAAGACGTCTCTTCTGCAGAGCTGCAGGTGTACGAGGTGAAGATACGCTCATTCTGGGTCCATCTACATGATTTCTCCCAGCGAGTGGAGGAAACCAAGGATAAAATTGACAAGACTGTTCGACTCTACGAGTTTTTTGACAAGGTGAGTGGTCATTAGTTGCTCATAATATGAACTCCCCTGGAGTTCTCTCTTTCTGTTTTTACTTTTACTACTTAGGCTCACTTGTCATGCTACTGGTATTGAGTTTGAACACCCTGTAGCTGTATTCTCTGTAATTGTATTGTAGTGTGTGAAAAGTTGAGAAGTTTTAGAAGATTTTGAGATTTGTTAGAGATGATTTGTTAGAAATGTTGTTCTAAATGGTTTAGTATGGGGATAGTTCACCCAAGAATGATAATTCTGTCATCATTTACTCACCATCATGTCATTCCAAACCTGTATGACCGACTTTCTTCCATGTTTTTTTCCCCTTCATACAATAAAAGTCACTGGGGTGCAATGTTGTTTGGACCCCATTTAGTTTTGAAATACCTTCTGTTGTGTTCAACATGACAAAGTAAGTCATACAAGTTTGGAATGTCAAGACGTTGAGGAAATGATGACAGAATTAAAATTTTTCAGTGACCTATCCCTTTAATTATATGTACTGGATTGTTTGAGGCTTTTTTCGATTGAAATATTGGTTTGGTGGATAATAAGAGATTGCTCAGTGTACCGGTACTGCTTTCTAATTATAAGGTGTGTAAATTGCTCAGAATTATTACCTTGATACATAAATCCATAAATTTGTGGTCATTCTAACCTGTCCTATGTCTCACCCAGTGCAGTTCAGTCAGTTTAGATTAGATTACCCCTGTGCGTTAGCTGTTTTCCATTTTTCAATGCATAGTTGTTTGGCCAGATATAGTTCATTATTTATAAACGTTTTGCTCTTCAGTTTCATATCATTGTCTTTTCATATGTTGTACTTACAGGACACTTTCTTTTCTAATAAATGAATGTGGTTTCTGTTAATGTAATTTAGTTTAGTCTAAATGTAGTTTCCCTATAATCAAGTAGGCTTGGCGACCCCTGGTGGGGGTCATGACCCACAGGTTGTGAAACCTTGTCTTATTGAACACTATCTGTCCTCTAGATGACCTCAGATGGGTGTTGAAACAGTTTTTAATGAAAACTTGATTTTTTTTTTCTATATTTTTCCCAAACAGTGATAAAAACTTTAGAATTAACATAATTTGATATCAAAATTTTGGGTTGGATGTTCTAGGTAGTGTTAAGTGATGGCAATGGAGGACTTTTTCATGTATTTTTCCATCAGACTCTAGTTTCTCTGAAGAGAATACAGTGTTTCTAAAGCACCAGCTATTACGGAAATCCCTGACTGGCAGTGATGTCAGGCAAACAAACACATTCACACACACAAACACACACGCACGATTGTCTCTGTGATCAGACCATTGTGTTTTTCCTCTGCTGTGACACTGGGTGAGTGTTGAACGCTTCAGTCTGACTTCAGTGTTTCTCCCTGAGCCCCAGCATGGACAGATGGTCCAGTTGGCTGACCGCTGTCAGATTTTATCATTAGCATAATCATAGTGCTCTTTCCTGACTCATCAGACCATCCATATATAGACCCCTTGCCCTGTTGGCATGGCGACCTCGTCCAAGCCCTGTCCTGCCGTCTGTTGGCATATTGACAAAAGGTGTTAGTGTATTTGTGTATTAATCAAAGCTTTTGATTGTATATAAATCAAAAGCTGGCTTAGTTTACATATGACTACCTGTTTCTAGATCAGTCTCTGACGGAGCACGCATTTATCCTCTTTAGTCTTCAGCACTGCAGAGTCTTTGTGTCGTTGTGTTAAGATGCGCGATGACACTTGTGGAACTCACTGGCGTCATCTGACTGGCGAACATGAATGCTTATTCACACCACCTGTCCTTTCACACCCATTCCTGGGCATGTCATTTCATGCTTTTGATTAGACTCATGAATTGAACAACATTGGTGGTTGTGTATTCATTGTATAATAGTATACAGCAGTTGCGAGTGGTTGCTTTTTTATAACGCCAAATAACGTTTACAGGTAGTTAAGTTATGATACGTAATCAGAGGGTGGGGAGATGGGGGGATTCCCCCGGTCTATATATCTCTCTGCATCAACTAAATTATTTTTTTATTCACAGTGAATAGGAGTTAAAACTCCCACCTGTGTGACACTCCAATAACAGACCATGCAAAATACCCGAAAGTATTTAAAATATTGCAAAGTAATGTTGCAACCTTGCAAGCAATAATAAAATCAGAGAAGGACTTCAAGCGACACGAGCATACGCAAAACAATATGATGTTTGTTATTATTAAAATTTTATATAGCCCACGTTTTTATAAACATTATTTTTTTTTTATTTAAATTTTATATAGCCCACGTTTTTATAAACATTGAGAACGTGCTATAATCCTGGTGAGTCATAGCAACAGAGCGGAGGCGAGAAAGCTGGAGAGAATCCGCTCACCCGGAAGCAACCATAACTGACGTAGATTTACAGAAAATTACTGCCGTTTGGCAAAAAAAAATCATTTTACGTGCTTATTCCTAACTCTTTAAGCTTTAAGTTACATTTCAAATGACAAGGGATCAACTTATAATCATGTTTATATGAATTATCCAGTGAACTTATTCTCTAAAATGGCCTGGGTATGCGGAGCATTCGCAGCTTATATGGACGGAATGCCACTGGTATACAGGTGTGTATTAGCCTTGTGTGAGCATTATATGCATATGTGTGAGTGTGTGTGATCATTGACAGTACAGAGTCTTTATCTTTTTTTCTGTAAGTCGTGAGTGACCACATGCTGGACTTGATTTGTCTTCGATGACAAATTGGCTCATCCCAGATTTAGAAACTGACTGTTTGAGTGTGTTGCCTACCAACCGATCCGAACATGGGTGATGAGCTGGCCAGTGTGGATTGTGGTCATCAAACACAATGGGTTTGCTATGACAGCTGAGGCTGAGCGAAACCACAGGACACGAGACTCTATTCATACAACAGGACAACATGAATGAATGAATGACTGAGAAAGGTTTCTGTGCTCATAGAAGACCTGAAAAATCATAGAATTGTAAAATTGTGATTTTTCAATCATCGAAAAGTCATGGGAATTTCTTAATGTCTTAAGAAAATCTTAAAAGGTTATGGGAATATTTGTAGCAAATGTAAAACTTTTCTGTAGAAAATGGAAATCTAGTTTTTCTCTAAATTATAAAACTGTTCAAAAGTTTCGGGTCAGTACGTTTTTGAAGTGTTTTTGAAAGACGTTTCTCTTGCTTGCTAAGGTTTCATTTATTTGATCATAAATACAGAAAAACATTGCTATTGTGAAATATTATTACTTTTAAAATTAGCTATTTTCTATTTTAATATATTTTACAGTGTACTTTATTCCTGTGGTGGTAAAGCTGTATTTTTAGCAGCCATTACTCCAGTCTTCAGTGTCACATCATCCTTCAGAAATCATTCTATTATGCTGATTTGGTGCTCAAGAAACATTTTTTTAAATTATTTATGTTGAAAACAGTTGTGATGCTTAATATTTTTGTGGAAACCATTATATATTTTTCATGATTCTTTGGTAAAAAGAAAGTTCAAATTAAATTGATATCTTTTGCATGATGTATTTACTCTCAATTTTGATCAATTTAATTCATACTTGCTGAACAAAAGTATTTCTTTAAAAATAATTAAGAAAAAAAAAACTTACTGACCCCAGACTGGTAGTGTATGATTTTTCTGAATCAGCTAGAAATGTTCTTTGTGAGTTAAAAAGAAAAGAAGTATTATGCAAAATTTAAAGAGATTTCACTTTTGTGTGACCTACAAGGTTTCACTTCAAAATAAATATCTAAAGTGAGTCAGTGAGTGTGAATGAATTAATTTACTCTGACCTTACTGGGCGCTGTATGAGCTCACTGACACACATTGGGTGACAAACATAATATTGACAATCTATTGTCTGGATCAGAGCCCTGCAGGCAATCACAGCAGCCAGCAGTGCAGAAAGTGACAGCGAAGCTGTGAGCATCAGCCCAGTGATATAGCCCGAGGCACAGCAGACAGTAGAGCTCAGTGTGTGAGACCGAGTCCTTTCTACTCCAGATGGTCTGCGTGTGTAAGAGGGCAGAGAGTGAGGAATCACAGAGATGGTGTTTGATGGGAGGATGAGGGCAAACTGACTGTATTGATCGTAATGCTCATCTTTACAAGCCAGTGTGGTACTATTGTCTGAGAAGATTTGTCTTCAGTTGCCCGCCCCCTGCGTTATATTTTAAATTCATTCAAACTCTTATATTAGTGTTTGAAAATGCAGGTTCAGGGTGTCACTCATCTCTATAATGCTACTAGGAAACTCATTTCCTCTTTTGTTCTACATGGTTTTAAGCCTAAACACATACAGTCAGACATTACAAGTCAAAGGAAATGGCACCTCCATGTTGTCATTATAATAATAATACGACAGTACAACTGAATTAACACACTACAGGCTTCTGCTCAGAGAGGATGAGCATATTTATGCCCTCTCACAGTGAATGTAAATGGATGAATCTATGAAAATAATTATGTATGTATATATATATATATATATATATATATATATATTTATATATATTAACTATATATATATATATATATATATATATATAATGTTAGTATTATTTACATTTTAACTTTAGTTTAGGTTTTGAGAATTTTGACATTTTCTTTTGACATTTTATCAGTTTTTGATTTTTTAAAATATTTCTTTTTAGCTTTAATGTATTTTTTTTTTTTCAGTTTTAGTTGCAGCAAGTATGAAAACAACTATGAAAACAACATTGTCATTACTGTAATAGTTTTCATATGTCTAGTCTATTACAGAAACACTTTTTAATTGTATTTATAACAAGCTATTTCAGCAAATGCTAATAAGATGTATACATACATTCATATTTCACATTATAGCATTTCTTTTTTTTTCTTTCTTTTTTTTTTATGAACTTCAACACAATAACAATCAAACAACACTCCTTCATGGGTACATACATAAATATTTTTCCCAAAGTATAACATAAAAAGTAAAAGAAATTTCAGTCTGGTCA